TTGTGTTTTGCACATTGAAAGCCAGTCACTCTTTGATAGTTTCACTTTTAACTCTGCTTCTCATTTGGACTATACATATAATGAGTTATTTCCATTTCGTTTTTGTAAGCCTTTATATAGCTTAGATACAACTTTTTGTTGGGGTTTTTGTGTATGCATCTACAAAGAATTGAATCAACTAATTTCCTTCCGGTGATAATTCTTTCTCAACCTCATTGGTATAGAAGTGTCTTGAACCAAAGTTTTGTAATGTAAGAGAAAGTGTGTGCTCTAAGCTTCCAGGATTCCCGAATGAGAATCTAAAATAACGTAATAATACAATTAGTAAGAAATATCATAGGAGTAAATGATATTAATATATTATATTATTGATCTGTGCAACATTAAGACACACTCCCAATGAAAAAGCATTTTTTTGGTCAACAAAACAACCCCCTTTGTATTATAACCTATAGCTACACTCTGTACCATATCCTCCCTCATCATCTATTTATGATTTAACAGATTCAGTTTTTTTTAACCTTGGATTTGAAGGTCCTTATTGTCAGAAGTGTGGTTTTTTGGCTTTAAAAAACTATAGACAAGCCGGTTTGTTTATCTGAGTTTGACTGGCTCTGTAATGTGTAAAACAGCTGGTTCCTTCTACAAATAGGTTTGTTGTTATCGCATGATGAAGATTAGATTTTGTGTAGTTGTAATAATGGATGGACGTATTTACTAATCAAGGCCGCTGATAGCCGATAGGGCAGGTCAATCATTTTCATTTTAATGGGTTGAGATTTATTATTTTCCACTTCTCTTCTTTTGACCTTGGATGAGGGTTTTGCTCCATGTTTTGGGCAGCTTTATTCCGCCCATCAGTGCCTCTTCAGATGGTGGCCGAGACATTACAACTGACTCTGTCTCACATGTGGATCTTTTTCACTAAGCACACAGAACACAAAGAAGAGTGCAGATATATAATATCTTCTTCCGGTTGAAACTCATTGTTTTCTACACCACAGCTGTCTAAAGGCTTCCCATTAGCAGTTAACAAAGATAATTCTGCATCTCTATGTTTAATTCATATTATTTTAACTGCTCCATTGATACATCAACACAGATGTTTGCTTACGTCATAACTCTTCTTCTATGTTTTTGTAACAGTTATGGTCTAGGCAGCTAACTGCGGCTACAAAGCAGCATCAGAAGAGTGTCCTTTAAAAGAGCCTGAGGTGTGAAAAAACAGGAGGCAGTGCTGTTAGTTTTGGTGAATATAACGTGATTTGAATAAAACACAAAAGAATTGACAAATAAATAAATAATTTCAAAATCATAAAGTCCAAAGTCCATTTTTGGCTCATGATCTTCAGCTCCAGATGAGAATCTGATCCAACAGGGGAAAAAAAAAAAAAAAACCAACCTAAAAGGTCAGAAAACCCATTGAGTGTTTTGTCAAAAACAACAATTATATACAATTATAATACAAAGGAAATAATTATTAAATTTAAGCATTTAGTTTATGCATATCCAATGCAATTGCAAAAATCAGATTCCTGATAATTTGACATAAACATTTCAATCAGGTTAAATTAACCATAATTTGAATAAAGTAAAACAAAAAAGTATCATATTTCAAGCTATCTAATTTAAAATTAAACTGCACTTCCAAAAAACAATCAAGACAATTTAAATAATAAAATAATAAAAGCAGAAGTACTTAATTGAGCAGGAGTACCACATTAAAAAGTAATACTGTTTCTAATAACAAACTCACCCGGCAATCAAATCAATAGGTTCAAGGATTTTGGATGAATTTGTAAGGAAGATGCCAACAGCAAGCCACAATCACAGCGGAAAAAGGTGAGGATCTTTCAACTGCATGCTGGAGGCGGGAGTTTAAAGCAGCCAGCAGAGTTTGGGGCAACATAGGAAGCGGCCCCGCAAAAATAAAAGTCCTTGACTTATTGCTGGTTACATTTTGTTAGACTTTCTTCTTCCTCACTACATCCATCAGGTTTGTTGGTGGGTTTTCTTCTTCTCTACCAACTCCAATTTAACATCCCTTGCGCAGAATATCTACTACCTCTCTTTTTTAAACCATCTAAAAAGTCCCTCCCTAACAGAGGATTCGCCAGTTCTTTCTGGCTACTTTCTATATTACATTTATTTGTAAAGTACATTCAAACCTCTTTTTATAAGAGGGTTTGAAATTTTTTGTTCTCTATTTCCTGTGAGTTATCTGTGAAACAGACACAAGATTTACAAAAATTAGACTTTATTGAAAATGTACAACAGCTCCTTGTATGAGCGAGGTTGTCCATGTCAAATTAAAAACATGTGCAGCTATGTGACACAAGCATGCAGTTTAATTCTTACACAAAAGAAAAAGTTGAAGAAAAGGACATCTGTCCAAAATATTGGTCTGGATCCGTTTTAATGCGGACAGGAAAAGAGATCGCACTAACTGGAACATGGAGCCAATGCCACCAAAACTCTTTGATGCAGAAGTTGTGACTGACTGAAGGCTTTCTGCCTCGCTAAAGTTGAACTAGGAGGAAGAAAGAAGACAAAAGGTGGCATTAAAAAGAAGGTGGGGTTTTCTCCACATGACAGAAAAGTTGAATGGAGTACGCCAAACCCGCTTTGGGTGTTTCCTTGGCAACTCTCAACTACAGCCTGTAAGGGAGTGTGTTGGCTTTGGGAAGGAAGCAGCATAGAAAATCTTGTTATATCATTTCTAGCTATGCTGTCTGCTTACATAAGATACTATTGAGTTTTAAATGTCAGCTCTGTAATTATTTTCTTTGTCAAAGGAAAAACCTGTATTACAGCAGCAGCTCTCACATAGCATTGTAACGTGACCTTCACGTTACAGTGGCAGATTTTGGCACTGTATGTAATGATGTTATGTGTAATTTTATGCTACTTGCTATTAGAGTCAATACAAAAGGATACACTTATCAAGAAGCTTTAGCATGATAATATAAATATATGTTATATTATTGTTTTCATCTGTCCATCTAAGCATGGAGAAGTTAATTGAACAAGAGTCAATATTAGACCAACTACATACCTAAGACTGTAGCTGCAGGGTAAGTACGTTGTAGAGACCTGAGCTTGTTTTAAACAGACAACTACAGCTCTGAAATTTTCCAGGGAGGATTTGCAGGTGAAATCACAGATATTTGTTACATTAGCTTATGAACTTTTTATGGTAATTTTCCAGGTCGCTAAGCAGGAAAGTTTTTAAAGCGTGAATAAGACATCAAAAATCTGAAGTCTTAAGCACTAATAGGTAGGGGTGTGTGTGTGTATGTGTACCTGTCTAGCCCTCAGTGTGAGGACCATTTTTCCAGTTTAAACATCACATTGAGGACCAGTTGTTGTAAAGTGAGGACATTTTGCTTGTCCTCTCAATCTATTTTGCTAATGGTTAGGTTTAGATTATAATTATCTTTTCTGCTGGCCTGCATCATTTTATTGCCTCATTAGTTGTAATTATGTCCAAATGCATAAATTAACACCAAAACAAAAAAAAAACTGTACCAATGCGCTTCCCACAGCAGTGATTTGCTGTGAACTAAGTATATTATCCTTAGTTTTTGCATACTATTAATCTCATTGGTAACATCACCTCTGTCCTAGGATTCACACTGGACTGTAACCAAAGTAACATCTTTGTTGGAGACTGTCTCTTAGTCCATGCATTACACTGTTACGTAACTGGAGAGATTCTTTGCCAAAAAACTACTACTGCTCACTATGTGCACAAAGTAACACTGGTGCTGATCCTTCCTCCTAGAAATGTAAACTTCACTGCTCCCAACAGACCCAATACGTGTTTATAATCATTCTGTCAGTTTCACCCATTTCCTATGCTCAAAAAAATGTTTTAATTGTCTTCTCCATGTTATCATTCACACTGCTTTTTTGTTTTTTTCTGTAAAAGGGCTTCTTTTTTCTACCTGAGTTTGCCACTTGGTGTTTGCCGCCTTAAGCTTTTGGGTTTTGTTCTTTAACATATTTTTTTTGTCCTGTGTGTATCTGTATGCTTTCATTTGTCTATTTCCCATTTCCAGTGAGACACCTGATTTATGCCAATCAGGGCTGATAAAAATATATTTCTATTCTATATAAAATGTCTGCCCTTCGTCCAAGATGTAGTTCGTCTTCGGTGAAAAGCTCTTGCCAAGAACTTCTATGGATCCATCCATCCATCCATCCATCTCTCCATCCATCCATCCATCCATCCATCCATCCATCCATCCATCCATCCATCCATCC